CCCCAAAACCCCAAAACCCCAAAACCCCAAAACCCCAATCTATGGATATTTAGTTGAGTCAGCAAAATTAGGAAGAGTCTGCCTCCATTTCTGAACTCATGCTTTCTGAAAAGCTGCTTCTAGGATAGAAAATAGAGCCTTGGTTCGAAGGCTCTCCTTCATGAGAACGGGGGATTGGAAAGTCTTGCGATGAGTGAATGCTTGGTGTGTGATCAGGATGTTGCACAGGAGCACTAGGATCATTATGAGCTTGCAGTAGACCTGGTTGGATAGGATTAGCAGGAGGATTATTAGGTTGACTAGCAGCTCGGTTATTAACAGGAGCAATAGGATCATATGGCTCATTAACTTCAATCTGATGTAGTGAAAGGCTTTGAGAGGTATAAATGCTTGATGAAGGCTCATAGTTTTCAGACGAATCTCTCCTGATCTGAACCGTTCTATAAACTTCCTTTCTTTCTTCAGATATATTAGATTCTTCATCAAGTTTGTCTGATGCTTCAAATTCCTCATTCTTCTTTTTGATTAAGACTCCTTTACTATATTCGTCTCTGACAATATCAATGAAGTTCTTTCTGCAAAGTGGACATGTCTTTTCTTTTTTCGACCAACTATCAATACACTCCAAATGGAACATATGACCATGACTTTTAGGGTTTCAATGAAGCTCCATGATGTTCTCTCCAACCTCGAAGTCTTCTAATCAGACTCAGCAGCTTGGACATGCGTTGGTATCTTCCTCTGTGAACTTTCGGCTCCAATTCTTCATCATCATCTCTACTGAGAGTGTAGAGTTAAGTCTGAGGAACTTCTTCTGATGGTTGGCAGCATCCATGAATGCAAAAGCAAGATTTCTCATGTTCACTTGAAACCCTTCGTTATTTTGAAAATTATTGGCATTATTCCTCTGAATTACTAGTCTTTCCTCATTTTCATGACCTATTTCGTTGAAGAGTTGTCTCGGTCGTTCTCCTGAATGAAAAATATTAGAGGTACGAATCTCATAATGCTAAACTGTTCATGGTGGAGTCATTAACCAAGGTAAACTTTGATTTTAAAGAATATGCAGTGAACTTGAAAATCTGCTAATTGATAAATTTATTGTACTCTCATTGAATGGAATTTAAAATTAACATATGATGCATTCTTCACAAAACTACTGAGACTCTATCCTAGCTTGTTGTTTAAAGTTCTTTTGTGTGAGTTACCTTCAAGATTATTAAAATTGTTATTGTCTTCTCTGGCATTGATTGCATTGTTTGCATTTTCTAAATTCTCTCTCTCAATTTCTCGAGCGTTACCTTGATGATTTCTCTTACATTTGTTGAAAAGAGCAGTAAATCAATCTCCGATAATAACAAATGGAATCAAGATAAAGGAACAAATAATAGCTACCACATATTTAGTATCATGAAATATGAGAAGCAGGTTGACAACAGCATAGAAATAACAGAAGAAGAATGCCAGCTCAAAATCTTGGAGATTTTTAATTGCTATAAAATATGCAATATTTCTTAGTAAGAAGAAAGTCCTTGCACCATTAATCCAAAAACTCCATTTTCCTTCAAACCTCTGAACTGTTGCCTTGAGTTTGTCCAAACAATCTGAGTTGAAGTAGAAGAGATCCCAGAGGAAAATCAGTTTGATGAAATTCAAGAAGCTATAACAATTAGATTATTAATGAAACCCTAGAACTCAAGAAGGATTTTGCTAAAGTAGAACTCTTGCTAGCAATCCAAAGAGGGAGTTCAGACTTCTAAACTGAGTTATTTTGTTTAATTTATTTGAAGAATCACACTGTTATTGACAAAGTTCTTAGTAATTTAGAAAATAAAATAGAGAATTTTGCCAAAAGAAGGATTTTTATGAAAATATATTAAAATGTTGAATTATTTTTGGACACTCTAAGAAATTGATAAAAATATGCAGAAGGCTAAGTCTAACAGCTTTAACCACTTACCCTTGATTGAAATTCAACAATTGAGGTATTTCTTCACCTTCAGCTCTACAGGTCACCGAGAAAACTATAAGTAAGCATCACCTCTATTCGTTCCTAATGCTTAGTCCTTGCCCAAGCGTACTTACCAAACTGGTTATACAGTGTAATTGCCAGATGAACTAGCATCATAACGTATGGAATAAACATGCTGCCACTGTACTGGAAGGTGACTCTGAAAATATAGACATATCACATGACATAATGGAGGAAGACCCCCAACAGCATTGCCACTTTGCCTAAAGGCTTCATTTTTATTTATTTCTGTCTTCGTAATCTTAAGCGGGGTTTTGGGGTTTTGGGGTTTTGGGGCG